TGCTTATATCTGTGTGAGGGTGTCAGATCCCCTGGAAATGGAGTTACAGACAGCTGGGAGCTGCCATGTGGGTTCTGGGAATTGAACTTGGGTCCTCTGGAAGAGCAGCCAGTGCTCTTAACTGCTGAGCCATCTCTCCAGCCCTCCCTATATGGGAAAATTTTTAATCTGTGGCCCAGGAACATGTTAGTGATGAGAAAGATTAAATCTGCATCTATTATTCTTTTTAGGAAAAAAATCTCATGGGTCATCAATCTGATTTTCAAGGTAGTTAGACAACCAATACAATATATTGAGCATCTATTATGTAGGAGTGACCTTGCTTGCATTATTTAAATGCTCAAATGGCTCTGAGAAGAATTATTATGCTAACTTACAGTGAAAAAAACAAATGTTCAGAAAGACTAAAGTGAGTTATCAAAGATAAAAAGGGTCCAAACGAGAATCTAAACAAAGGCTGAGTGTGGTGGCCCATAATTGTAATCCTAATTATAGGATTAGTCTTAAGCCAGGTTGAAGGCTAACCTGGACTACATAGTAAAAGTCTGTATCAAAAACCAAAATAGACCAGCAGCAAGACTGCCCAGACCACCTTAGCTCAATAGTGGAACACATGGAAAGGTGGAAGAAGAAAACCAACCCTACCAAGTTGTTCTCTGACTTCTACATGCACACTGTGGTAAGTGCATTCCTAACACAGCATGCATATACATGGACAATGCTAATAAATAAAAACACAACTCAAACTAAGGTCTTCCCAGTTTCAAAGGTCAGTCTTCTGGAAGTCACAGAAACTAGAATCTGACCTACCTGCTATGAAAATTACTTTCAATGCATCAGCAAATAATTAGAAGGCATAATAGGAAATAAAATACCATCCCTAATTATAATAACATATCAATACTTAGGAATCAAATTGTAGATATCACTAGAAAAAAATTAATCCTATGAAGACATGAAAAAATAGGAGAGGTAAACTATGATCTTTGGACACTAAGACTTAACATTATAAAGATGCCAATGTCCCTAAATTAATCAATCCAATGTCAAATTAAACTGCAATAATATTTTGTAGAAATTAAACTAATCACATATTATATATTTAAAAGTTCATGAACTGTAAAAACGGTACAATTCTGAAACAAAAAAATGCAGTTAGTTGCCCTACCTAATATTAAAGAAAATTATAAACCCTTAATAACTAACCCAATGTAATATTGATGAAGGATGAAACAAAACAGAATCAATGAATGGACTGGTGTATGTGTGCGTGTGTGTGCATGTGCGTGTGCGTGTGCGTGTGTGTGTGTGTACCACATGTGCAAATGTGTGTAGCGGAATAAAGTTGAGTTAGGTTGCAAATCAGTGCAGAAAGAAATTATCATTTAATACATGGAAATGGGGATCTAGCTTAGTATGTAGAGAAAAGAAGGTAAAGATTTTTCTGCAAATCTAAGATAAGTATCCACTATATTAAAAAACTTGACTGGAAAGTGTTATAGAAAAACATCTTTATGACCTAGGGATAGGAAGTTTTTATTAAATAAAATATCAAACTGTACACCAAATTACTGGGTTTGACAAACCAAAATATGTGCTTCTCAGTAAGGAGAAAAATATATTAGTATCTGCACTTTACTCAGTAATCTATCAAAAAGGATAAATGGAAACTAGATGGACAGGTGAACAGCTTATGGATAAAATATCTACAGTAAGATATTAATAGTAGACTATATGTAGTGGTCATATTGATGTACATTATTATTCTAACTTTTTTCCTATATATAGAAAATTACAATAATAAAAAGTTTAGAAAAATGAACTAATTCCATTTGATAAAGGATATTGTACATAAAATTTGAACAAACTGTGACTGACTGGAAAAGATATTTGAGACAAATACACATGCATAAGAATACAAATATACAAAAGATTTCTGCTATGTATCTCACAAAGAAGTTGTGCAATCAGCAAGAAAAAGAAAAGTAATCTAACAGAGTTTGCAAAATAAATAGCTGTGACCACTACAGAGAATAAAGCTCAAGTGGGCACTAGAGAGATGGCTCAGCAGTTAGGAGCATTTGCTGTTCTTGCAGAGGACCCAGGTTCAGTTCCCAGCTTCCATATCAGGCGGCTCACAACCATCTCATAACTCCAGTCCCAGGGGATCTGATACCCCCTGGCTTCCATGGGCATCTTCATACACATGGAGCATATGCATACACTCAGGCAAACACACATACACATAAAATAGAAATAAATGCTAGAATCTTAAATTTTATATTTAAAAGGTTTGTTTGTTTTAGACAGGGTCTCTCTATGTAGCCCTGGCTGTCCTGGAGCTCACTATATAGACTGGGCTGGCCTCAGAGATCCACCTGTCTCTGTCTCCAAAGTACTGGGACTAAAGGTATACACCACCACACCTGACATATCAAAAAGTTTTTATAAGGGGCTTAAGTGATGACTCAGCAGTTAAGAGCACTGGCTGCTCTTCGAGAGGACTCAATTTCAATTCCTAGCACCCACATGGCAGCTCGCAACCATTTGCCACTCCAATGCCAGTGGATCCAATGCCTTCTTCTGGCCTCCAAAGGCACCAGACAAACATGTGGTACACAAACATACAATATGCAGTCAAAACAGGCACAAGAACAGAAAAGTAGGCCTGTTGTGTAGTTTAAGGGCTAGAACAACTGCTTTGCATGTAATCTTTAGCACCAAAAGAAAAACAAATGCAAAAGGTCATCTTCATCAGTAGTTCAAGAAAAACAAATGCAAAAGGTCATCTTCATCAGTAGTTAAAGAAAAACAACTGACAAGATAGTGCACAAAAGCCACTGGATTTTGATTGGATGACAATTACAACTGGAAATACGAAGAAACAGAAAAACCTAAGTGTTATTCTAGGTATATAAATTAGTATAGCTACAATCTAAAGCAATTTGGCAATATTTCATGAAAAATTTATAGGCATAGTTTAGGGCAGTGGTTCTCAACCTGTGGGTCGGGACCCCTTTGGCAAATCTCTATTTCCAAAAATATTTACATTACGACTCATAACAGTAGCAAGATTACAGTTATGAAGTAGCAACGAAAATAATTTTGTGGTTGGGGTCACCACAACATGAGGAACTGGATTAAAGGGTCGCAGCATTAGGAAGGTTGAGAACCAATGCTTTATAGGACCCAGAAATTCTATTCCTGGGTATTTACTCCAGATCCTAAAATAATCATCTCATGAAAATATTTTCTGGGAGCTGTACAGATAGCTCAGTGGTTTGATTCCCGGCACCCACATGGCGGCTCCCAACCATCTCTAACTACATACTACATTTCTAGGGAATCTGACAGCTCCTTCTACCCTCTGTGGGCACTGTACGCACATGGTGCGCAGACATACATGCAAGCAAATGCCTATATGCATAAAATCAATAAATACAGGTTTGCAAAGTATTTTTTGAACTCACTGAGTGAATTCCCGAAGAACTGGGAAGAAGTATCCATCAATTAATCAGTAAAATACTGTGAAAATAGTATTGCTATCTACCCATATATGAATGTGGGTAGATTAAAAAAAATAACACTGAATGGCTATAGGCATGATGATCTATGCCTATAATCCAATTCACTAGGGAGGCTGAGTAGAGAGGATGGCTTGAGCACAGGAGTTCACACAAGTTTAGTAACATAGGAAGAGTCCATTTGTCCTGGCTGGTTTTATGTCACCTTGACACAAGCTAGAGACAGTAAAGGAAGGAGACTCAGTTGAGGAAATGCTTCCATGAAATCCAGCTGTAAGGCGTTTTCTCAATTAGTGATTGATGGGGGAGGGTCCAGCCCATTGTGAATGGTGTCATCCCTGAGCCTGTGGTCCTGAGTTCTATAAGAAAGCAGGCTGAGCAAGCCAGGGGAAATAAGCCAGTAAGCAGCACTCTTCCATGGCCTCTGCATCAGCTCCTGCCTCCAGGATCCTGCCCTTTGAGTTCCTGTCCTGACTTCCTTCAGTGATGAACAGTGATGTGGAAGTGTAAGCCGAATAAACCTCCCCAAGTTGATTTATGGTCATGGTGTTTTGTCACAGCAATAGTAACCCTAACTAAGACAACATTATAATAAAATAAGATAAAATAAATAAGATTCAAAGAAAGAAAGAAAAAAAGGTAAGAAACAGAATGATATGCAAAGTAACCTAAAGTCAGAAAGAGAAACACCACATTTTCTCTAATATCCTATCCTAGCTGGTAATTTTTATATATGTGTATTTAGGTGGAGGTGAATGTGTATATGGTTAAGATACCAGAAAAGGGAGAGAATAGTAGAACACATGTGAAATGAAAGTGGAAAAGAGGATATGGGGGAGGGTTAACTAGGGAGGAAGAAAAGAGAGGTGCAAGAGAGGAGGGGTGAGGGAGAAGATCAACCAAAGCAAAGGATGTATATAAAAAAGAAGGAATCTTGATAATAGGTGAGTTACTCAAAAACAAAAAAACAAACAAAAAAAACCCCACCACCACCAACAACAATGAATGAGGACTGTTGGCAACAAAAACTAAAGTGAAATCAAACAAATCAGGCTGGAGAGATGGTTAAGTGATTAGGAGCACTTGCTGCTTTTCCAGAGAACCTGGGGTTGGATTCCCAGCACCCACACAGTGGCTCACAAGTATCTGTCACTCCCGGACCGGGGGATGCAAAGCTTCTTCTGGCCTCTGGGGGCACTGCATGCACATGGTGCACAAGCATACCTGCAGGCAAACACTCGTCCACATAAAATAAAAATAAACAAATCTAAAAATTGAAATAACAAAATGAAATCATGCATGTACTAATGATGACATGGGATCATAAACTGAGACTATCCATATAACATTCATTCCTAATGTTTCTGAAGACTAAGTCAAGCATAAAACAAAAATCTCTTCACCTTGAAATGCTATACAAAATCACTTAAAGAAGATGTCCAAGAGCAAACTAGGCAAGCCTGTCATACAGCTTACCGGAGCACACAGCACATGAGCAGAAGGTGGGTGGGGACATTAGCTGGATTGAGCATACTGGGCGTGTCTGACTTCATACAGGCCAGGAAAGCCCTCATCCTCCTGTTCTTGTCCTCAACTGCTTTGCCTAACCAGAGCTTCTTGAGGTTTGGGCAAGTCCATTCCCGAAATGTGAGTGCAGATACCAGCTCAGGTGTTTGAGGTGACTTCCCCTTATAGGCAGACCACTCTTTAAGGATCACAGAAGGAACTGAAAAACAAAGTAAGGAAAAGTGGGCTCTAGAAAATGGACATTACTGTAGCTGGCTACAGCTGAGAGGATCTATTGCACTTCAATATCTTTGAATTTTTGTCACTGTAATTGTTATTGTCAGCATTAGTAAATACTAGGAGCCATATGCATTTATTAGACAGTTGAGATATATACATATACACTAATTTGTACCTAATTATCACATTAATTCTCATAAAAATCCAAAAAGGCAAACAGTCATGACAACATTTTTTGCAGACCATAGTGCTTACTTTGCAGAAGAAAAAGTCAAGATCCCATGCTACATAGGTTTTTAAATACTTTGAAATTCATTTTTAAGTAGATGTACCAGACTAGACAAAGAAAGATATGCAAGGAAGAATGATGTGAATACTTGGTTTCATTAATAGATTCCCAACGATTTTAAATTCTCAAACAAAAACAAAACAAAATCCCTCAAGTCTTAGCAACTCTGGAGGTTTAGCAGATGTTGAAGGGCAGCATGGTCAAAAAACCAAAAACCCTAAGTCCTTCAGATCCAACATCAATTAGATTTCCAAGGCTGAAAGGAAGCACGGCAGAACACCATGGCTTCTAGTACATCTCAGATCCCTACTCTATGCTCTCTGTCATTGGAGATGTGTAGCATCCACCTAATCACCCAATTGAGATATTTCCTCTCAGTTTCCACATTTTTGAGACATTTACTTATCATGAATGCATGTCACATTCTGTCCAATGCTTTCTCTGTATCCACTGATATAACCATATATGAATGGTTTATTGATAAATGGTTTATTTATTTAGCCATTCAATGTATGTATGTATGTATGTATGTACACACACACACACACACACAATTCTACTAATATTTTTGTTTCTTTGTTTTTCTAAGACAGCACCATGCTATGTAGCCCAGGCTGGCCTTGAACTCTTTATACACATGTTTTAAGATTTTTCACATCTATTTGTCTTAAGCTGTTTGGGTTGCTATGGAAAAGGCACCATAGGCTGAGGTAGTAGTGCACACCTTAATCCCAGCACATGGAATCAGAGACAGGTGGATTTCTGTGAGTTCCAGTCCATTCTGGTTTATATAGTGAGTTCCAGGCTAGCCAGATCTACACAGTGAGACCCTGTCTCAAAAGCCATAGACTAGCTTAGATGGCTTATAAACAGCAGGTATCTATTTCACAAAGTTCTAGGAGCAGGAAAGTCTTAGACTCAAGTGTGGAGAGATGGATCTAGTGAAGGCCTGCTTCCTAGTTTACAGATCGCTCTCTTCCTGTATTGCCACAGTGCAGGAAGCGAAGGCAGCTCTCCAGGGTTCCCTTACAAAGACACAACTCCTATTTGTGACCGTTGCTTCTAACTAACATATCGAGGGGTTAGGAGTTCAACAGATGAATCTGGTAGGTATTTGAAAACAGAAACATTCAGTCTACAGCACATACTGACTGTTCTAGGATGTACTCATAATAATGGAATTATTATATATTAGAGAGTAAGTCTATCATTTAGTTTTGCTACTGTTTGTTTTGTTTGTCTTTGCTCTGCTTTATGGTTATTCTCTTTCTATGAATTACCGGGATTAATTTTAGAATCCTATTTTGATTCTATAATAGTGGTTTGGGGTGTTATTTCTGTGTATCTTTTTTGTTTGTTTGTTTTGAGAAGAGGTCTTACTATGCAGATCAGGCCAGTCTTGAACTCAGAGATCCACCTGGCTCTGCCTCACAAGTGCTGGAATTAAAGGTGTGCACCATCATTCATGACTATCTCTGTAAATCTTTTTTTGGGACAGGTGCTAGAAGTTGAACCTACAGGTTTAGACCTACTAGGCACATGGTCAACCATGGAGCTATATCCCCAGCTGCATTATCTATGTAATTCAATATCAATCATGTGCATTAAAAAGATATACAAAGAGAAAACAGGGATGTAGCTCTGTGGTAGAGTGCATGCTTGGCGTCCCTGGGGCCCTGGGTTAACTCTTTAGCACTAGAACTAAATAAGGAAATAAAATCACACTAGTAGATATTGATATTTTACCAGTTCAAATGAAGAAAAGCTGCTTTATCTTTATCCTCCTCCACTTACAATTGTCTAAAATACATTCTCTTTAAAATTTTTATTTACTCATCTAGTGTGTATTTGGGGTAGGTATACTCATGTTACAGCCTGCACATGAAATTGCTTCTCTCCTTCCACCACGTGGGTTCTGGAAATCAAACTCAGGTTGTCATTGGCAGCAGGACTTTAGCTGCTGAGCCATATCCCTGTCCCTAAATAGCTTCTGTACACACATTGATACAGTTTTATAATTTTTGTTCCCATGAAACACAATTTAGAAACTCCAAGGAGGTCTGTTATATTTATCAATTATTTTGTTAATTTGACTGTTTTTCTTCTTTTCTGATGTTCCAAGACTCATTCTTTTACCATTCTACTTATAAAAAAAATAGCCTAGTTCTCCTTCATTACTAAAGGATCTTATTTGATAAATAATTGTGTGTTGCTGTGGTGGTTTGAATGAGAATGGCCTCTACCGGCTTATATATTTGAATGCTTGGTCCCCAGTTAGTAGAACTGTGTGGGAAGGATTAGGAGGTGTGGCCTTGTTGGAGAAGGTGTGTCACTGGGGGTGGGCACTGAGGTTTAAAAAGACTCTTGCCATTCCTAGTAGGTTCTCTCTCTGCCTCATGTTTGTGGATAAAGATGTAAACTCTTAGTTGTTCCGGCCACCATGCCTTTGCTCAGCCATCGCCATCAAGAACTCTAACTCTTTGAAAACATAAACCCAATTAAATGATTTGTTTTATAAGTTATCTTGGTCATGGTGTTTTATCACAGTCACAGAAAAGTAACTACGAACATTGGTTATTCTTTTCTTTTAGTACTAGAAATAGTTTAATATTTATTTCTGAATTCTAAGGCTTCTGATCAGAGATCACCTGTTGCTGTGGGATGGTCTGTGTGTCAAATCTGTTGCTCTGATTGGTCAATAAATAAAACACTGATTGGCCAGTGGCCAGACAGGAAGCATAGGCAGGACTAACAGAGGAGAATTGAGAGAACAGGAAGCTGAGTGGAGGAGACACTGCCAGCCTCCACCATGACAAACAACATGTAAAGATGCCAGTAAGCCACGAGCCACGTGACAAGGTATAGATTTATAGAAATGGATTAATTTAAGATATAAGAACAGTTAACAAGAAGCCTGCCTGGCCCACAGTCAGGACAAATCTCTCTCACCCACCAGTCCCACAGCCACTCAGACCCAACCAAATAAACACAGAGACTTATATTGCTTACAAACTGTATGGCCGTGGCAGGCTTCTTGCTAACTGTTCTTATATCTTAAATTAGTCCATTTCTGTAAATCTATACCTTGCCATGTGACTCACTGGCATCTTCACATGCTGCTTGTCATGGCAGCGGCTGGCAGTGTCTCCTCCACTCAGCTTCCTGTTCTCTCAATTCTCCTCTGTTAGTCCCGCCTATACTTCCAGTCTGGCCACTGGCCAATCAGTGTTTTATTTATTGACCAATCAGAGCAACAGATTTGACATACAGACCATCCCACAGCAACCTGTTATCTATAATTATTTTTTCCTTAAAAGTAAACATCATATAAAAGAATTGTCTTTATTATGGGATTTTTGTACATATGTCATTCTCACTTTCTCTGAGAGTCTGATGATACAAATATTAGATCTTTTGTTGTAGTCCTATAGGTCTTTATTTTTCAGACTATTTTCTGTTTATTCTAAGTGCATAATTTGTGTTTTTCTATCTTCTTACTGTTGTGCTTACTCCACCATTTAACCTATTCCTGAACAGTTTTGTTTTGTTGTTTGTTTGTTCATGGAAAGAGGTTCTCGTGTAGCTCAGGATGGCTTCAAATTTACTTTGTAGCCTAGAGGATGATCCTGAATTCCTGATTCTTCTGCCTTGACCACCAAAGTCTTGGGATGAAAGGTGCATACTGTCACAACTGGCAAGGATTTGACTGTGGTTATTGTATTTTTTTTTAGTTCTTAATTTCCATTTGATCCTTTAAATATTGTTTCTTTTTTAATTTAAAAATTTTTATGTAGTCTGTGTGTGTGTGCGCGTGTGCACATGTGTGTGTGTGTGTGTGTGTGTGTGTGTGTGTGTGTGTGTGTGTGTGTCATATGTGCATGCCATGGCATGTGTGTGGCAGTCAGAGGACAACTTTGAGGAGCTGTTCTTTCTTTTTACCCCACATGGGTTCCAGGGATTTGCACAAGCACTTTTACCCGCTGAGCCATCTCACTGTCTATGTTCAATTTGTTTTCAGTATGTCTGCAATTATTTGTTAAAACATTTTTATGAGAGTTGCTTTGAAATTCTTCTCCGATTAGCATCCTGGTGTTCATGTTCTTTCTAAGCTGCCTGAGATCTGAATTTGAAACCTTCCTAATTCTTGGTATGATAAGGAATTTTCAGTTGAAGTCCAAACCTGTGAGTTTTGATTGAAAAGGTTCTGAATCTTCTTCCAATCTTGTATCTTATCAGGCATTTTCTTCCTACTGTAGTGTGTGAAGGTGGACTTCATTGCTGACAGCTGCAAGAGTTTGTGTTGATTCCTCACTTGACCTTGTCTGACACCTCCCCAGTGGTATCGGGGAAAGCAGCCTGGCAGTGGAGGATATTTTCAGGTCTTTGCTGGGAAAGGTGAGGGTGAACCAGAGTTTCTTTTGTGGTGCTGAGCTTGATTAGAGCAATTTTTATAGAAACACTTCTGTGTTACTAGGTTGGTCCTTTGCAGGCTTCTGGGCAGAGGATATCAGTCTGCAGGGGTCAATACTTCTAGATTCCCTACCAAACTGTTTTACATCCAGTCCGTGATGTGTGAGACGAAAAGAAAACCCAGAGAACTTACTACTCTAGTATTCCTTGGGTCCCAAGGTCATCAACGGTCTCTGCTTTCTGGAGTATTTTGTGTTTTTGTTCCCCCCCACACACATACAATGTTCTAGAATCTAGTTGTACTTAGCAAGAAGAATAAGGAAAGTATATCTAATCTAATTTACCTTCATGGAAGTAGAAACCTAAGTTATTCTTTTGGATATACTAATTTGACTAAGTCATTCTTGTTTAAAACAACAGAACAATTTCAACTCTCTACAGCATCATATTCTAGAAGAAAAACCTTGCTGAGGAAGAGAGACTGTGAGAAAAAGTCCTGCACTCTCAAAGCCCGCCATTGTTCTTAAAAGTAACACACATTCTGAATGTTTCATGATTTCAGAATTAGGGCTCACATTTGTGTATGTCTTATTTCAATGTGTTATCTGGTAAATGATGCATTTTCTTGAAGACTGCTTTAGAGATCAAAGTATGGTATACTCGCACAGGCTTTTCCGGCCTGTGCCAAGCATAGAGAGATCTGTCATAGGTAGAATAGCCAGAGTCATACTTACCTTCCATGGGTAACCGTCGCCGTATGGCCAGACGCTCCACTTTTCGCTGTGCCTCTGCTAGGCTAAAAAGAACTCCATATACATATTGGCGAGCTGACCGGAAAAGGAGAGCAGCTGGAGGCAGCTCCATGTTACACTCATCCTCAATACATACAGGGATTTTAATCTCACCCTAATAAGAAAACGGTTCAGGGAAAAGAAGAAAATGAAATCTTCAAGGTTTAGAACAGAGCAGAAAAGAACAAATAATGAACTGTAGCCTCTGGAATAGAGACAGTAAATTTACTATTTGTATGCAGAGAGATTTTCAGATTAGCAGCCATAAGAAGGAAGCCCAGCTGTCTACAGCCACCTTATAAGCTAGATTCCATTTGGAAAGTCTCAGATCTCATGGACAATACTGACTGTCAGGGAGAATCCACCCTAGACATTTGTTTTTTTTCTTTTTGAGACAGGTTCTCACTATGTAAGTCTGAATGGACTGGGGCTTGCTATGTAGACCAAGCTGGTCTGGAACTCAGAGCTCCTCCTGCCTTTACCTCCAGATTACCAGTATTAAAAGCTCGTGCTACCATACCTGGCTTAGACATTTTGTGGGTAATTCGTGTGTTGAAACTAGCAGAAGGGAACAGGTATGCAGAAGTAGAGGCAGGGACAAGGGAACAAGACCTCTTTTTAGATGGTGCCTTCAGAACCGCAGTCTATTAACTTAGTACATTGTTTACTTTAAAAATCTTTTATTGTTATTATTTTTATTAATTTTTTCATTTATTTTACACACCGACCACAGTTTTCCCTCCTTCCTCTCCTCCCATTCCCTGCCCCCACCTTCCTTCTAACCCCCCATCCACAAATCTTACAATTTGAACTTCTCTCTTGGAGTCTTTTTTATTGCTTAGTGCCAATTCCTACTAATCTCACCTTTTCTGAGGCTTTTAATGCAAGGAAGGGCACGGACGTACAGGGTTTCCTTGTACCTCTTGAGCTACAATGATCAATGGGCTGGGGATAGAGCTTAATGCTAGGGTGCTTGCCTCGCATGTGTGAGACCCTAGGTTCCATCCCCAGCACTGTTCCCCCTGAATAAAAACACAAATTCTCTGACAAGTTATCTCAGGTGACTTTGTAATTTAGTAACTAGGAGATACTGCAGGGAATTATCTGGGGGGTAGATATGGATGTGTTGTTCTCTCACCTTAGTAAGGACATGGTAAATATACGGATACATAAGACCCCTTCGGTGTCTGTGTTCAGCAACCCTCAAGACTTCTGGAGCTACTGGAGGTAAAGGTGGAATGGTGATATCCATGTGGTTCCTTGTAGACATAGATAACAGAGATGGGATGTGAGGTTCACCATCACCTACGCTAGTTTCCGAAACTCCAGCATCAACAGGCTGTACCCAAGACCCTCTGTCACCACTGGGATCTTCCCATCCAGGCTGCTGCTGAAGTGCTTCTGTGTTGTGACTAAAAAATTCACAAACAGCATAAGACAGAAAAGGAGGTTGATAAAGATATTTCCACTCAAGACATCTAACCTGATCCCAAGGACTCTCAGAAACCCTCAAGGCACCAGATTAAGAACGGACTTTTCCTCTCAGTGGTCATCACTGTCCCCTGGCCTCCTTCACCTGACACAGACCAAAGAATCAAAATTCATGGAAGTCACTCTGGATCCTTTACACCTGTAAGATGTCAAGTTTAGAGTCTACCCATAGTCTAAGAAAATAATTAAAATTATACTCTCAAAGTAGCTCTGTTTCCCAGGAATAATCTCTTTAGAGGAATACTCTAAAAACAATCAAACCAGCATATGAGACCTAATCTTCATTACTGAGGAACTGTTCCAATATTTCAACTATAAAAATTCTTTTATCCTTCAATCTATGTTCCTCACAAACTGAAAAATGACAGGCATGTTATGTAGCACATTCATGTTAGGATTTCCTAAGCAAATGCCTCTCCTGTATGGCCTGGATATCTAAAAATCACCACCTGCAAAAGGCCAAGGGGCAAAGAGTAACGAAAGGAAGCCAAGAACATGCACTTGTCCACACTTGTTAGAAATCTTGTTCCGGTTGTCCGCAGAGCTACTTACTCAGGACCAGCTCCATTTGCCTCGTCACCCTCAGAGGAGGAGGAGTGGGAAGAATCTGGTCCCAAAGGAGGTGAAGTTTTAGAAGGCAGGCAGTTAGGAAACTGGGGTGTAGAAGAGTCATAAGAAACAGCCCAATTGGTAAAGGAACTGTCCTGTAGCATGGGATCCTCTGAAAAAGCATGGGATTCCCCCACATTATGGGAGAAGAGAAGAGACGAGTTGGGTCCCATTGGAAATGGTGGTGGATATTTCATTTTCTGGGGCACCTGGCGAGAAAACTAAAGGATAAAACAGATGGAAAAGATATTTAACATTTTACCAGGATACAGGATGGTTTCCTCAGAAGCTGTGGTATAGTAGATGATACCAACAGTAGGAACTGTTGAAGTACGAAGTACCTACCAAAAATATTAAGAAATAATTCTGATAGTGGTATCTGAATAGACTTTACCAGAACCAGGAAAATGAACCAAACTAGATCTCTTAGAAATATTTTTGTGACATCATCTAACCTACATATATAATATCCTAGTGATTACTAATGTGGAAGCTATCTTTCTATAGTCTTCCAGCCTCAAGGTATAAAACAATACAGGTATATGGCCTGCATGGTCTAATTAACATTGAATCATCCTAAGGACTCAATTCAGATTGTAAAAATCAGGAATGAGCTTAAGTCTAAGGTAAGCAAGTGATCTTAATCCTCTTAATGAATATGTAATAAACAACACTTACCATTGGCTTTCCAGTAGAAATAGGGCCCATTTGATTCCGTGGAATAGGAGGATTTCCAAGCCGATTATTTCGAAAGCCTGAAGCCAAGAAAAGTGCTGTTTCATCCAATCCTAATCATTTTACCATGCTTATTAATTCTGTTAAAGCATCACTGCATAAAAAACCCTGTTATAAAGTTATACTTTATGATCTGAGATTGTGGGACAATGGTAGGGCACTTGCCTTGCATGCACGGAGCCACGAGTTAGATCTCTAGCACCACAAAAAGTTATAATTAATTGACCAGCTACTATGGGCTGTTCCAAGAATCTGGCTTTTTGTTCCCTGTGGGATTTCCTTACACAGTCTTTGACATCCTCAAGATTTCTAAGCTGGGCCCATAAGCCTGAGATTATGTACAGGTGTGTTCACAAGCTATTTCTTGGATGGTATATTCAATATTAATTCATTTGAACTGAGTTCCCAGTTCAGTTTGATACCTACCAAATTTACAGTGGCAGCAATTAATCCTAGCCTTTCCATCAAGAAAGTAAGCGACATGAAGGTTCTGTGGTGAGATAGCATCTGTCTGCTGTAATACTGACGGAATAGATAAGTGGTATGCCCATGCCAGGGATTGTAAATGGATGTTTCTTTCCCACCCATCAGTTCCCAAATAACCACTCAGAGGCTTAATATTACTTATAAATGCTCAGCTGATAGCTCAGGCTTGTTATTAGCTAACTCTTACACTTAAATTAACCTATAATTGGTATTGGGTGGTTGGGACAGGAAATGTCCGTTTACAAGGGATCCTATATAAAGTATTTAATCTGATAACAGCCCTACATAATAGATATTTTGAGCCATGTTTCATACAAAAATGAAGTGATGAGATCGCTCAGCTAGTAAGCAACAGAAGTAGAATTCAAATCAAGCTTGCTGCCCAAGACAGGGCTTTTTTACATACACCAGGTCACAATGAGGGTTAGTATAAGAAAAAGCCCAAGCTAAGGAAATGGCATTATCCCCCCACCTATAAATGTGAAAAGGCAGGACACAGGCAGAAACAAGGGATTCCACTCTGGCCCTAAGGGATAAACTCAATTGAACAGCAGCTGGAAGCCTTACCTAGAAAGGAAGGACCCATTGGCAGTGAAGAGAGTTTGGTTGTGACTGAATAGTACTCAACTGCTTTCTTGAATCGTTCTATTTTGTCTTCTGTCCTAGACTGGATGTTGGAACATCAGATTTTCAGAAAAAGAAACAACATGAGAGTGTCTTTTTCATACAATGTATACATTGGAAGTCAAAATGATAACAGAAATAAAATATTTAGAAACCCAAGAGAACAACCCAAGAGAGCATAAGATCAGGTAGAAAAAGGCATTAATCCCAGCACTAGGGAGGTAGGGGCAGGCAGATCTCTGTGAGTTTGAGGACAGCCTGGGCTACATATTCAGTTCCAGGCCAGCCAGGACTACACAGTGAATCCCTGTCTCAAAAACAACAAAAAACAAAAGCTCTACCTCCCCCCCCCCCACAACCCACTGCATCTCCAAACCTACCAGCCTAGTTCCAGACCTGTGGCCTTGAACACTTTTCATATATAAATCCCTTTTGCCTAATATATCAGTCACTTCTTCCCTTTGCCATCCCTTCCTCCCTTCCCCTCATCTGCAAACCACAAGCCTAATTCTGAACCATGGCCATGAACTCTCTCTGTTCCTGAGACACCTTGTCTAAGCAAGTCCCTTCCTCCCTTTCCCATCACCCCTTTCCTCAAACCCCCATTTTCCCTCCCCCTGCTGTAGCCACCCAAAGGCCTAGTTCCAGATCTGTGGCCTTGGCACCCACTTTTATCAAGAGCCATCTTAGACTGGCTCTTTCCTCTTCTATCCTCTCCTATCCACTGCCATCTCCTGCACCCACAGGCCTAACTCCAGATCTGTTTGGGATCTGTCTTAGGGTTTCTATTGCTGTGATAAGACACTATGACCAAAAACAGCTTGGGAGGAGAGAGTTTAGTTCATCTTACAACTCTCAGGTCACACTCCATCACTGAGGGAAATCAGGGCAGGAACTCAAGGCAGGAACCTGGAAGCAGGAGCTGATGCAGAGGCCATGGAAGGATGCTGCTTACTGGCTTGTTTCTCATGGCTTATACAGCCTGCTTTCTTATAGAACCCAGGACCATCAGCCCAGAGAAATGGCACCACCCACAGTGATCTGGGACCTTTCACATCAATCATCAATCAAGAAAAGTACCACAGGTTTGCCCACAGGCCAGTGTGGTGGGGACATCTTCTTAACTGAGGTTCCCTCTTCCAAAATGACTCCAGCTTGTGCCAAATTGACATAAAACTAGTCAGGACAATTAAACACTTTTCAACTTGACACATAAATGCATCATTGTTAAACCATAGCCTTTCCTTTCTTGTTCATCCCCAAGATCTCATGTTAATATTAATACCACAATCTAAAGCATACTTAACTTTAAAACTCTCTTAAAACATCCAAGTTTCTTTAAATATTCAAACCCTCTCCAAAATATCCAAAGCCTCTCTAAATATCCAAAGTCTCTTAACTATAAGCTTCTTTTTACTTTTTAAAAAATATACCTTTCTTTAAAAATGTATTTTATTTTTGTTTACACACACATGTGCATGAACAAGACAAAGCATGCATATGGAGGACAGCCTTTGAGAGTCGGTTCTCTCCTTCCACTGTGGGATCTGGGGATCATACTCAAGTCATCAGGCTTCCACAGCAAGGGCTATTACCCGCTAAGCCATTTTGCCAGCCCTTGTCAATCTTTTCAAAGAACAAACATTTTGTCTGATAATCCTATGTATTTTTTAAAGGTTAATTGTTTTTATTTTACGTGTATGGGTGTTCTGCCTGCATATATGCCTGTGCACCACATGTATGTAGTGTCAATGGAGGCTAGAAGGAGGTGTTAGATCATGTGAAACGGAGTTACAGAGTGTTGTTAGCTGCCATGTGGGTGCTGGGAACTGAACCCAGGTATTCTGCAAGAACAACTTCTTAACCACTGAGCCATCTCTACAGCCCCTGTATTTTTTTAGTGTTTAATTAATTTCTACCTTCATTTTTATTATTTCTTGCTATCTGCTGTATTTGGGTTTGGCTTCTTTTTATTTCAGAGGCTCGGGGTGCATCACTGGGTTCTTTATTCAAGATCACTGATTTTTTAAAACAAAATATTGTATTTTGTTATTTAGCGTGTATACACACATGGGAAGGTTAGAGGACAACTTGCAGGAGTCAGTTCTCTCCTTCAACACATGACTTGCAGCGACTGAACTAAGTTCACTGGGCTTGGAAGCAAGTGTCTTTCCACATGGAGCCATCTTGCAAGCTCTCTAACTTTTTAGTTTGAGCATGTACAGCTGTAAATTTTACTCTTAGGATAAATGGATGGAATTCCAGATATTCTAGTATGTTCTATTTTTTTCCATTTGATTCTAGAAATTTAAAATTTTCTTTTTTTTTTCTCTCTCTCATTTATTTGATGACACAAAAGTATATTAGTAGCCAAGTATTTGTGTATTTTCTGAGGCTAGATTTTCTGTTGATTTCTAATTTTACTCCACTGTTGTCTGATAAGATACAGGAAATTATTTCTGATTTTTATTTGCTAAATATTGCCTTTCAGCTTATAATGTGGCCAGTGAGAAAAATGTCCATATGTGTTGGGTGGAAGAGTCTGTAGATAGCTGTTAAATCTAATTGATCTGCGGTATAATTTAGTTCTGAAGTTTCTTTGCTTATTTTTAATTAGGAGGAGCTATCTAGGTAAGAGAGTGGGATATTGAAATCTCCCACTGCTGTTGTATTAGAACCTATCTGTATGTGTTTATGCCTTTTAATGTTTATTTTATGAAATATGGGTTCCCATGATTTGATACATAGATATTTACAACAGTTATGGCCTTTAATTCATTGTTTCTTTTATTAATACATAGTGGTCTTCTTGATCTCTCCTGATTAGTTTTGGTTTGATATCTACGTTATCAGGTATAAGAACTGCTATATAAATTTACTTGCAGCTTCTATTTTGTTGGTAATTTGGTGTCTAGCCTTTGACTTTCAGTCTTTCCTTGTTATATGAGATTCTTAAAGTTAATAGATAGTTGAATCTTGTTTTTTGACCCTGTCAGATAGTCTCCGTCTTTTAACCAATAAGTGAAGACCATTGCAATCAAAAAGAGTTTGCTTGCTATTATTTCTGGCTTTCTTTTTTGTTCTGGCTGATTGGCAGTTTTGATCTTCCTCCCTGGTGGTACAGATGTTTGCTTGCTTAATGTGTTAGACATGACTGAGACCTCAGTTCTCCTCTGTTCATCTATTGTTTTCATGAACTATATTCTTTCCTGTGTTCTCATGTGTGAAGTTCTCTTTCTTCTTCCAGTCTGCACAGTATTCCTTTAAGAATTTTCTGCAGTGCTGGCTTAGTGGTCATAAATTGCCTTAATCTGTGACTGTCTTGAAAAAGTATTTCTCCATCTATTTTAATAGATAATTTTGTAGAGTAGAGCAATCTTGGTTAACAATGTTTACGTTCAACGTTCGTGACTTATCATTTTGGTTGGTAATTTAATATCTAGTTTTCCTGGCTTGTAGGATTGCTGATGACAAGTCAGACATTATTTTGATGTTTCTGCCTCCACATATTACTTTGTGTTTTTTCTTTAGAGCATTTAGTACTGTATATTTGACACCTTGATTACGCCATGCAGAGGCTCTCCTTTATTTGTATGTATTTGGGGTTCCACATACTTCTTGTGTTTGGAAGTTTATTTCTTTGTGTGTGTTAGTGAAATTATTGGCTATAATTTAATAGAATATGTTGTATAAGCCATTTGATTTTATCTCAGCCTCCTCTTCTCTGCCATAGATTCTTCTTTGGTTTCTTGAGTATATCCCAGTCTTACCGGAAGTTTTGGTCATATTCATTGATTTTTTTTTCTTTATACACACCTATAAATATCATTGCCTTGACCTTGACCTCCATCCCTGAGATTGTTTTTTTTTCTTCTTGGTCTTGTCTATTGATGCCTTCTTCTGTGTTTTAAATATAAATGACTGTTTCTTTCCATTTCCAAAATTGTTGTTTGATTCTTTTTTAGCATCTTGGTTTCCTTGGTGAATCTGTTCTCCATGATTTAAATTTTCCCTCTAAGTTACTGATTCTTTCATCCAATTTGGTTCTTGAATCAGGCTTTGTAATTTTGTTGTCTGTGTCTTGAATTAAGTTCCATATTTATATTCAACTCTTCTAATTGGTTGTCGATCCTTTCAAAATGTAAGACTGTGAAATTGTTTTCTGGCATTTCAGCTAGCTCATCTTCTTTCTTCCATGTTTTTGAGGATCCGTGTGGAGGTGTTGTAGTGGACTGTTGGCTCATGTTTCTTTATTGTATTTTACAATACAATACAATTTAATATCTGTTGGAGTGTGTACACTCTTTAGTTTGTTCTCTTTTCCCTCCACCTTTTTATTTCTCTCTGTGTGTGCTGCATGCATGTAAGTGTGCAGGTGTACGAGCTCATATACATACATACATGTGAAATCCATAGAAGGGTAGCTGGTATCTTTATCACTCTCTGCCTTATTGCCTTGAGACATTGTCTTTCATTGAGCCAGAAGATGGCAGTTTTGGTTAGGCTGGGTGGCCAGTGAGCTCCCAGGATTTGCCTGTCTCTGTTCCTCCCCCACCCAATACTGGGTTACGAGCACATGCAGCCATTCCCAGCTTTTTATGTGGCTGCTACAGATCCGAACTATGATTCTCATGCTTGTGCAGCAAGTGCTTTACTTGATGCCATCTTCTTAGTCCCTCTTTGAGTTTAGATCAGTCTTCCTGGTGGGCTGGACAACCCACACGGGCTTATGAAAATCCACTGCAGTAAAATCAGGATAGTTTGATAGAAGACTCAGTTAGCTGCAGGAAAACATACTGTACTCCTGATTTATTTTCCCAGTAAGGTTTGGAGATAGAAGTACTAGGGTCAAAGTTATGGAACAGGCAATATATTTAAATAGTACAGTGGGACGTTAATGAGGTAGATAGAAAGTAGGAATGAGAAGAAAAGTGTATGGGTTAGAGGTATGAAAAAGAGTAGAGAAAATAATCAAGTTATGACTTATCAAAGTGTACATGTGAAGGGTCTAAAAGATAGGAAAAAGGTAAAGAATTTTCAAAA